CCTCCAGGTACTTTTGACCTTCGGAACCTAACTCAAACCAATCCGACACCACCTTTGTGGTTTGATATGTTTGACTTGAAAGTTGACAATTGTAGTTCTATAAGCATCATTAGTTTGAGTGCATAATGGTGTCATTTTAATGAATAATCATTCGAATTATTGCATGTGTCGAGATGCGTTTGTGAATTATTATGCTTTCAGCAATTACAACTTGCAAGTTGAAGTGCGCTAAAATTTTATTTTATTCGGGAAATTCAACCATAATCAAGATATTTTTGTTATATGACATTCAAATTCGTGATTAACTGTTACCCACAAGGATAATGTCACATTACGATTTTACCCTTGATGTTATCGTGAAAACCAATGTTTAACTCATAGAAACCAAAGCCGTTCAACGGGACCCGAAGTCGTGACCTCGTCAATCGGTGAGAACATGCCTAATTATTTGTTAAAATCATGTATCTCGATAATCGAAAGGGAAATTAACTTTAACGTAGTTTAAGTGATTGAACCAATCTCAAGTTCTAACTTAACACACAATGATAGGTTAACTTGGGTTGGTTTAGCAAACCCGGGTTGTTCTTTTGAAGCTGGTAAACCACCGTCGATGTTTACAAGATATCTGTTTCTCACCATTGTTTCATGTTACTGAAAACGTATTCATAATATTACTTAACTAATTAGTGCTATTATAATTAAAATTATTTAAAAGTAATTCTTCTGATTTATAATTAAAATATACTTTTAAACATTTAATTATTGATTTTTAATATGTATTTTTCTTTAATAAAGCATGTAAAACTATTATTATAAGACTCCATGTTGCAACATTACCAACTCTTATGTCCTTTTTCATCATCATGTTTACAAGGATTGGTACAAGCATATCCAATTGCATAAGGGGAAGCTCTTATAGTATTCCCAAATTAAATAACCACTCCATTATAAAACTCAAACCATAAGAGGGTGTTTGGTGCGTGGAATGAAATTTGGTTCAATTGAAATTTATCAAATGAATTTGATTTTGAATGAATTCGAATGAAATTTGATGATTTGAACACGCGTTTGGTTGATAGAAATTGTAATGAAATCTCATAAAAGAATTGGAATATGCATGTGGGGTTGGTGGGGTGTGCGAGGGGGTGGTGGGTGTGGTCTCATTTTATAATACCCTGGGAGCTAATGAAACTATTTTAGTAAAATTAAAGATGAGGAATGGATAGGGTAAGTGTGACGAGGAACAATATTGTGGCTTGGTGGTGGGGTGGGTGGGGTGGTGGAATAATATTGACAGTACTGGTAGTGGAAACTAGGGGTGTTTAAGAACCCAACGAACTAGACCAACCCAACTCAACTCAACAAGAAATAACTCAACTTGAAGCAACTCGATGTCTAATCGAGTTGTACAATCTTCAAAGTGTAGGTATTTGGTTGAAATTGGATTACGGTCATTTGAACCTAACCCAACCTGATGAACCGATATCCTTTTATTTCTTGAATTTATCATGTTTTTAAGTCCCGTACATTGGACAATTACCCACTAAGCTTACATGTATAGGCAAGGGCGGGGAAGGGCAGTAGCAGGAAGATCCGAGGAACCATAGGCTTATATGCTGGGAGCATTTCAGTTAGACATGGCAAAGACTTTCCTTGAATATGGGATTCGAACTTAGGCAATCTTTCCGGATTTGCACCCCCCTGAGTGGACGAGAAAAAAAGAATCAATTGAACACAAAAGAGACAGAGGAATCCTGGACGGATCCTTCCCTGGTGGGAGGCTTTCTTTTCCTTATTAGTAAAGGGGGCTAGGGACGTTCGTAGAAGCGATTTTAGATTATCGGAACATGGGTGAACCGACGGTTGTGTAGAATAGGTGCAACGTGGAATCATGGGAATAACGAGAGATGATGTGGGTAAGGCACATTTAACCTAATTAACTGGATCAATACCCAATAGACTGAAATCAAGGAAAATCCACTCTGAAAAGGGATATCCCAAGCTCTTTAGAAGCGGATCCATCTAAGTGAAAGAATGGCTAAACATATTCCAGTAGAGCGTATGGTGCACCTTAGAGGGGCGTGAAAATGCCGTGGAGGCTTTACACCATCATGTAATTTCTTCATATGCATTTATTTTTAATCTATTCTTCATATTTATGTAACTCTTTTGTATATATGTTTAATAAATGTGAACATATAAATGCAAATTGAGAAAAGTAGTTGAATGAGATATACGTAATATTTAAGGAGTATGTGAATTGAGAAACAACGTATTTAAGTTAGAGAAATATTTTTGATGACCAACGCATTGATGGACAAATGGGCTTGGCCCGGCCTGGGACTGGCGGAGGACCGGGACTGGGACCGGCCTGATGATCCTTAACCTGTTATGATTTTTAGGAAATTTCACGGCCTAGTCCCGCCTGGATCGGGACTGGTTATACATAGGCCCGATTTTTTTTAATAAGTTAATCTTTTATAAATTATATATCGAGTTTTTCAATATTTCTATAAGATTTTTAAGTTTCTTTTTACGTTTTTCAAGTTTTTGTAAGCGTTCCAATACTAAATCTTAAAAACCGTAACTATAAAAGCATCTATAACATTTTTGTATTAAAAATGTTTTTAAAGTGTATTTGAATGACCGAATTAGAGATTTTAAAGTGTATTTAAAAAGATATTGCCCAAAAAAGAAAATCTTCAAACAATATTTTTTACGTTCAAAATTGATTTTTAAGAGAACAAAAAAACTTAGGACTGATTTAGGCCTGGCCTGGGACCTGTTCTAGTGACCGCATGGAGACATCGCCACATTGTTGAAACTGGTCTTACACTCCTATCTCATGCAAATTTACCTCTTAAATTTTCGCCTCGTGTCTTTACTACTGCTACATACCTAATCAATCGTCTCCCAACCCCTACCCTTCATAATTCACCCCAATCTTACTATCTTCAATACCAATCCTAATTATACTAAACTTCAAAGCTTCGGTTGCTTATGCTATCCATGGTTAAAACCATACAACGCCCACAAATTGGACCCAAAATCCACTCCATATATCTTTGTTGGTTATTCTCCTACTCAAAGTGCCTATCACTGTTTCGATCCAAAAACCAACAAATTTACACTTCACGACATGTCAAGTTTGTTGAGTCGCAATTCCTTTACTCCACTCTATGCTCCACACCATCTTACTCCCTTAATTTAACTACTCACAAGTGGTGCACCCTTTCTCTACCTCTTATTTGCCACACTAATGAAGCATCAAACATGGTGCAACGTCATGCAACCTGAGTTTGATGCTCTTACCCGTAACAACACTTGGAAACTCGTTCCCCCTCATGCTTCTCAAAATGTCATAGGTTGTAAACGGGTATTTTGCATCAAATACAATCCAGATGGTTCCGTTGAACGATGTAAAGCACGACTTGTTGCAAAGGGATTTCACCAACGCCCTAACATTTGACTACTCCGAAACTTTTAGTCTAGTCATAAAGCCTACCACTATTCGTCTCATTTTATCCTTAGCCATTAGTTGAGGATAGTCCCTCCGCCAACTCGACATAAACAATGCCTTTTTGCAAGGAACCCTTCATGAGCATGTTTACATGTCCCAACCCACTGGTTTTGTTGATAACGACAATCCAACCTATGTTTGCAAACTTAACAAAGCTATCTATGGCCTTAAACAAGCCCCAAGATCTTGGTATACCGAACTTAAAACCATTTTCATCTCCTTTGGTTTTTGAAACTCCATCTCCGACCCATTTCTATTTTTATACCAACATGGTGATGCCACCATCTACCTCTTAGTCTATGTTGATGAAATTATCATCACTGGTCCAGCTCCCTCTCACCTAACAAAATTCATCAACACTCTAGCTGCTCATTTCTCTCTTAAGGACCTTGGTCCCCTCTCCTATCATTTGGGTGTTGAAGTCATACCAAATACCTTCGGTCTTTTTCTCAATCAAACTAAATACTTTCATGACCTCCTAGTAAAGTATCACATGCATGACTCCAAACCTGTATCCACCTGTAGCTCTAAATCCTCCTCTCACTTGTGCCACAACCTCACTCATTCCAAACCATATGAACTATCGAACCATCCTTGGCAGCTTATATAATACCTATCTTTGACCCGACTTGATGTTGCCTTGTTGTCAATAAGCTATCACAATATACGCATTGTCCTTGAAATGATCATTGGCTTGCTTTCAAGCGGTTACTATGGTAGCTTAATGGTACCTTTCATCATGGTCTTCAGCTTTACAGTCATTCTTCCATGTTTTTACAAATGCAGATTGGGCTCAAGAAACAGATAACTATATTTCTACCACCGGCTACTTAGTCTACCTAGGTCGCAATCCAATTTCATGGAGCTCCAAGAAGCAACGTGTCTTAGCTTGTTCCTCAACTGAATCAGAATTTCGAGTAATAGCTGACACAACGGTCGAAGTACTTTGGCTACGCTCTTTGCTCACCGAGATTGGTATTAAATTAATACATCAACCGAATATTTATTGTGATAATCTTGGTGCCACTCACCACGCTGCCAATCCTGTTTTTCACTCTTGCATGAAACACCTTGCATTGGCCTTTCATTTTGTTCGTGAACAAGTCCAGCTCGGCACTATTCGGGTTCAACATATTCCTGGTGACGATCAGTTAGCAGATGCTCTCACGAAACCATTACCGATAACACGCTTCTACGCACTACTTACCAAGATTGGACTTTTCCAACGGACGTCCACCTTGAGGGTGATAAAGATATTCACACATCAATCAAAGATAACAATCCTTAATTTTGATCCTTCATATTATTATTGTAATATTTCATTTGTTTATAATTATCTTATCAATATTCTTTATTAATTAGTCTTAATTAGTATTGTAATATTTCATTTGTTTATTTGTCAATTTCAGTGCAAGTAAGTAACAGAAATTGTCCATTTTATATGAACAACAGGTATTTTTGTCCAAATCTCAAAACTCCATTTTCATAACCAAAGTCTTGAATTTCTATTGAAGTTTAAAGAAAACCAAATTTGATAAAACTGATATCAAATGGTGATACATATTATATCCCAAATTCGGCCACAAAAAACATTCTTTCCTCATATGCATAAAGAAAGTTTCTGAGAGATAACTCTTATTTTGAGTTAAAAAGGATCACAACAAACTCTTATTAACACTAACCTGTAAGAGCAGAGTTAAGAGCACTATGAACATCCACTCCAATCTGGGCTTCAGCTTTGTCCAACTCGGTTGATGCCGAACTCAGCTTCTGAGTGAACTCACTCAGACCCTTCTGTACTTGGGCTGGATCGATTTGGTCAAGGGGAACAGCCTCAACAGCCAATATGTCTGCATATGAGTTTGAGTGCACGAAAGCAAAGCCACTGCTGATGAAGTATTTCTTCACGTCATTCCCTTCGTGGACTGAGAGGAGCCCGGGTTTGAGCTCAGCAATTGTGGGTACATGTCCTGGTAAAATACCCATCTGCCCAGTTGTTGCTGGAACTATCACCATATCAACCTGTAAATATCAACCAAATGAAATTCTCAGGAAGACCACTTATTTTCCACAAAATTCCTAAGAGAAAAGAATCACTACCACATTCATCCTACTTTAATCAACGGCTAAATGGGCTATCGACATAAAACTCTTTGGTACATTATAGGTTTTGGCCTTCCCAAAAATGGGTTATCAACATAAAACTGTTTAGTCTTTCAACAACTAAGATATGATCAGAATTTGCATCTCTTACAAGCAATACATGATAAAATACAGAAATAAATTTAAAGAGGAGATAAAACCACAAGACAGATGAAAGACTAGATAAGATTGGATCAGAAGAAACAACACAAATAAAGTAGTGAACAGAAACGGTAGTAGTCCCCACCCAATTTGCATGTTGTAGGGCAAATCTTTTCACAAGGTGCAACTATTTCATGCATCATTAGAGTCATTGTTGCTTAATTAGTGAACGCTTAGATTGTGGTAGTTTAGCACAACTAGTCGACGGGACCATGCAAAGCGCCCTCCAAATGGATGAGGCAAACTTTACGCCTTCCAGCCAATGGGCGTGGCAGCTATTGAATCATTGCACCTTTGAGATTTGAATGTGAGACCTCTAGAACGAAGGTCCCAACCCTTTGGGAATAAGATCAACAATATAACCAGAATGAAGTGTCGCTTGCTCAGCAATCATGAGGTCTGGATCAAGTTCAGCCCTCTTCATAACCCCCCAAGATGAAACAATGAATGGAACATCACTAAGAAAAACGAGAACCCAATGAAACCAAGTGATATTCTACTTCCAACCCTTTCTTTCCCTTGCTGGAAGAATGAAGCCTCTTGTAATGCAAAAAGTTTTTCATATGGTTGATGCCTAAATAAAACCTTGTAATAAGATCAGAGAATGGGTTAAGATGCAAATGTTTGACAAGATCGTAAAATTCAATGGAAAGATGTGCAGCTTAACGAACCTGGCTTTAAAGAACATCACACTGGCAGAGTGTCATATCTCACTTGATGTGAACTAGAATACTAGAGGTGATTGTAGCCTTTTCATTTTAACCTTTAATGGATTAGTTGGCGAAGGTTTCAATATTTGTATGTTGCTTATTTGTTAAGGTAGTTATCTTTAATCGTATGTTTATTTAACATACACATGCATTTATACATATACACACATGTCAAAACCCAAATATTCCATATTTTATAAAAAATACCAGTCACCACACTGGCACACCCAACAATCTGGATCCATGGCACACTCGATATATGTATTCATTCTTCCCAACTGCCCACATCATAAGGGTGTTCAAACTTAAATATTCAAAGGAAAACCCACTAAAAAAATCATTTGCAAATTAAGACATAACCAGGTTCACAAACAGTTGGAAACAAAAGATACCCATATGAAATTGATTGTTTTGTGGAATGTATAATTAGAAAAAGATCATAAGATATCTCGACCCTAAACATTCCAAAGAAAAACCATATATGACTTATTGATAGTTCAAAAATGGTAATAGCTTTTGCAAACTTGAAAATAGAAGAAAAACAAACCTCCTTATAAAAGCTTGAAACTATGTATATATGAATAAGATGAAATCGATTGTTAGTCATGACAGTATTTCAGACAGGAATGTACATTTGTACATCTACAAAAATAAACAACTCAAAGGACCCCTGATAAGACCACGCAGATGTAGAGCAAAAATAAATCAATAAGGATTTAAAATTCGTAAGAATGATAAAAATTCAAAGGAAATCAGTCATTTAGAATGTGAAAACCTACGAGTAAAATGGGTGTCAATATCTATAAGAGAGATCGAACAATGCAAAAATAAATCAACGGAGAATCAAAAAATTTAGAAACAATAAAAATCCAAATGAAATTTTAGAAGGTGGAAACATATGAACAATAAAGAGTATAGACAAAATAATATTGGACATATCAGACCACATTCAATAAAAAGATACAGATGAAATTGAACATTTTTTTTTATTAACCTGGATATCCAACCCGCTATGCGAGCCGACTAATCCCAGGGCGACCACCTGCTTTGCAGATAGCCCGGAGTTACCGCATTTGAACCTCTGTGGCCACAAGGGGATCTTTATTCCTCTTTGGATTTGAACCTGGGACCTCCTGGTACTTTTGACCTTTGGAGCCAAGCTCAAACCAATCAGGCACCACCCTTGTGGTTGAAATTGAACATTTATGGTGTGACAAGCATGAATATTATGAACTAATCATTTTATTAGACATATCAGAGCTAAACAAACCATCATTTCTAATGAGAATAATTCAAAAGAGTATGATTCTAAAGAAATCCAAAATGACCACATCGTCACAGAGACTAAAGCTACACTACAAGAATCAAGAAACAACCAGATGAAATTGAACCATTAGTCGACAGAATGAATGCATGAATAACCACGTAATTATATACACCATAAACCCGAACAATCTATAAAAAAACCCAGATAAATTCATCATTGTTGGGCGAAATAAGAACTTTGTAAGCTTGCACATATGCAAGGTGAACGCTTTGCTATAGATCTCAAAACCAAAAACTCAGCGAAATGCCAAGAGGACATTGATTATTTATGGTGAAGACAAAATTAAAAGGGATTGTAACTTTTTCTGAATAAACCAGATAATTCCCATTTTATGGAACACAACTTAGAAAATCTATATGCATTATTAGCTATCTCAAACCCTAGAAAATCCAACAAAGCCCAAATACAATCAAACAATATCATCGTCAAAAACCAAAAACGGCTTCACATAATTCGTAAGAGCAAGGAAAACTAACCTCTGTTTGAGAAAGCTCCGAAGCGTAAGGGAGGACGAAATTGACAGTGAGTTTAGAGGGCAAAGTGGAAGGAGTAGGAGGACGGGGTTTCATATACTGGATCGGTGTCTTTGGCGGATCGATGTTGGGGACAACCTTCTTCCACGACTCCACAAAATCACTGTCACCGGCTGCGGCATCAGTAGCGACCTCGGTCGAGTAGGGGCGGCGGATAGTGGCGGCGGAATAAGTGGTGGTAGATCGCGTGAGGAGGCGATTAGCTACTTGACGAAACATGGTTTCAATTGGGTTGAAGAGATCGCTCGGATGGCAAGGTCGGAGATCGATTGAAGATGAGATTCGCTTGATTTCTCGTTGCTTATGGTTTTGATTGGATTTGGAGAGCTTTGAATTGGGCAAAGCAGACAACTTCACCGCAAACCTTGGGGTTGTTACTAGGGTAGCCACTTTTTTTATGTATTTTTAATTACAAATTTGGTCCTTTCAGTTTTTTTATATAAAACTTTTACGACTTTAACATTACAAGATGATTATTATGGTTTGTAAAAGCATTTAGATTTGGTCATTTTCCCTAATAATCGTTAAAAGAACCCGTTGGAAGAACCTTAAATGAACCAACAACTAGGGGTGTTCATGGATTAGATTGATTGGGTTGAATGCATTTAAATAACTCGATCCAATGTTTGCGGTTTGAAAATTCTCAACTCAAACCAAAGTGCAAGCCAACCCAATCCAAACCATACAGGTTGATTGGGTTAGTCAAGTTGGTCGAGTCGACACTTTTGTACATCAAAATATTCTTCTAACCTTGAATATGTTGTTTTCTCTACTCAAAATTCATTTTTCATCATCAATCATTTGGTACAGCTTATCCAAACTTCTTAAATTTTAATTATACCACATTCAACTACTTTTCTCAATTTGCATGTATATGTTCATGTTTACTGAAGGTATATACGAAAAAATTATATAGAGATGAAAAAGAGATTAGAAATATATGTTTACGAGGAGGGTACGTGATGGTGTAATTTTCCAATATATATATATATATATATATATTAACAGGGATTTAACAATCATGTTAATTCAAGAAATAAAAGGATAGCGGTTTCATCGGGTTGAGTTCAAATAACCGTAATCGATTCCAACCAAATACCTGCGGTTTGAAGATTTTACAACTTGATCAAACATCGGGTTGGATTATTTTGCATTGGGTTGGGAAAGGTTGGCTGGGTTGGTCGGGTTTTTGAGAAATGATGAACCCTGATCCAAACCAAAGTTAAAAAACTCAATATATAAAATAAAAACAACCTTTACTAATCGATATTTATAGAGACAAAATGGTTAGAAGAAGGTGTTCTGATCTTAAAGCAAATGAAGTTGTGTAGTCCAGATCTTAAGGGGGGAGATTGCAGTTCCAGATCGAGGTGAAATGAGAGGTTGCACTTCCATGTTTTCAGGTTTAGGTGTTTGTCTAACTCGTAAGGAGTTTTTTGACTAGATGGTTTGCTCTAACCGACGATTTAGTCGTTAGAGCTCTACTTGGGCGGAGTATTGGTTTGCTTTGCCTCAGGATATGTGTGTTTGTGTGTGTGTGTGTATATATATATATATATTTGGGATCACGGGAGACCAACATTTTTATTAGACCCGTGAGACTACTTTTTTACACTTGAAACTTTATAGCAAAACGTTGTGAATGTTCGACTTTTTTTTTTTATCTTCACAACGTTTTGCTGTGAAGTTTCAAATGTAAAAAAGTGGTCTCACGAGTATCACGAAAACAGGTTGTTCTCACGTGATCCAAAGTCTCTCTCTCTCTATCTCTCTCTCCCTATATATATATATATATATATATATATATATATATAAGTTCATTTGTTAACCCAATATACGGTGTTAACTTTACAAACCTCAATGAACCAATAGAAAACAAGATACACTTTTGGTTGATGCAAATGATAAATTTATTTAATAAGGGTAAAAATGTAATTTTTTATTTGATCTTTCTTTTAATGCAAATTAATTATCGGTTACATTTCTTAATTATTTCATGTCTTGCCATTATGAATATCTCATGCAAATTAATTGTCAGTTACATTTCTTAATTATTCCAAGTAAAATTAATTGTCAGTTACATTTCTTAATTATACCTGAGTAAACACTTATTTATAGGTGAACAATCTCGTTTCAACATTAAAAAAAAAAATTGTTTTCATATGTGAACCTGATAACCACATACACGTAGCAAAAACTGAGTATGTATAAATTACCAATTATTTACAAAAAAAATTGAATAGTGTTCAGAAGTAAACACATGAACATTGTTCATAAGCACAATTTGATGTTTGTTCATAGGTGAACTAATGATCATTCCACATTTATTTCATATATGAATGAGACTACATAGTGTATGTGTTTACTAAAATAAAACATGGATGTTACAAAAATCTTTACGACTTTGTTAACCATTTGGTATCACCGGAGGACGGTGGCCGGAGGCCGGAAGACGGAGAGAGAAGAGAGGAGATATGAGAGTAAATACTTAAAATGTCCTTGCATTAAAATTTTAATTAAAAATTACCAAAATTATAAATTTCCTAATTTATCTATTGATTTGTGTTTGAGATTAGATGTCACGGTTACCACAAACTAATTAGTTCTCATTTGATTAGGCTCATATATATGTATGTAATCTTTTGCATACATTTTGTGTTTCAAATGATAAGTTAAAATGACGAAGTGCATCCCTGTCCCACATTCCCTTTGATGATACAAAAGGTAACTTACGTTCTTGAACCGTTAATTCAACCTGGTGCTTCACTCAATGTTATTATGGGCTACTTCTCTTCTTAACTATTAGCAACTCATTTGAACATAATGATGGGGTTATAATTATAACTTTCATAGAATCCTAATCCGATAGTTTCTTTTGTCGAATAAAGGGTTCCAATTTTATCAATTGAAAAACTATCTAATGAAGCACCTTTATATGTTAAATAGTTGGTAAACCCGATGTATAGCTTATATCAAATATAGTTAAAGGTAGAATTTTCACATGTAAAAGTCTTATAACTGCCTGTATTGATCCAAGAGCAAAAAGCTTTCAACAAAATCGAATACTAGTTACAGTGAGGTCAAGATCATCACCAAAGCAGATTAGTTTGTCATCTAGTTGAAAGAAGATCAGTACAAGATAAAAAGTCAACTAGTAGTCTAACAAATACTACTAGTGGCTAGCTGAATCTTGAAGTACAAACTTGACCAACAAGTTTGGCTCACCAACTCTCTTACTTCTTCTCTTAATATGAGAACATGTACAACATGTTAGTCTAAGCAAGTATAAATGCACCATGTAATTGGCACTTTGTTTGCTATAATGTTCCCTCATCACACTTAAAGGATAAAGTAATTTAAAATTGTGTCTACATAAAACTCAAAGGTTGAAATATACAGTATTGGGATACATGGATCAACCAACCATAACAAGACACGTAGATAAGTTGGACAAAATGCATTTAGTGCAATGATGAATATAAAAGGTCACTCTTGGCGTTCAATGCAACTCACCCGTTTTTGAAAGAACATCTTCAAGAGTGTTTCTGAAGTAAATTTGGTGTCATCCTCTGAATAACATTCTTAGTTCTTCGAATTTGAAAGGGAGCCCTCTTTCTTCCTCTCTTTCAGTTTATCAAATTTGTCACATTTAGATAATTTAGGATCAAATGTCTTATCTTCCTAACTTCCGCAACATATATATAATTATTTGTATAGAGCAAAAAATTACAAAGTGAAAATCTGTTGTGTTTGTATTCAACCCCTCCCTCCCTCCCACCCTCCCTCCCAAAAAAAATTCTACAAACACTCCTATTGTAAGTCATCACTTTCCAGGACCAGTAATTATTATAAGCAAATATTTTTAATATATTTTAAAACATTATTACAAACAAATTATATGAAATCTCCTGAAGGACCAGTAATTATTAGAAGCAAATGTTTTTAAAACATTATTACAAACAAATTTTATGAAATCTCCTGAATTACCAACTATTCAGTGAATTTTTAAATCCATGTTAGTGGGATTTCATTGAATTTTAAGGATTTCCATTTTGAACTTCCTTTTAAATCAAACGTAGGTGAAATCCAATTATAAATTCCACCAAATCTGGTGTAACACTCCAAAATCAAATTTAAATATAACCAAATATTTCATATATCAAGAAATATTAATTTACATATTCGGTCCCAAATATAATAAGAGCTACATAAGAGTAGCTAACAAATTTTTCGACAAAATCCATATCCAAAACTTGTATATATAACAAGTATTTCAAAAAGACCACAAATAAGCATGATATCCTTCGCATCCCATGTAAGCAAGACATCTCACAATTTCCCTTTTCCTTAGATTGAGCCCGACCTGTAATGTACATTTTTGAAACACAAAAAGAGGGCTAGACCTTGAGGTTTAGTGAGAAATCCCCTTTCATGCAATTACAGAGTGAAAACCACCAAATCAAGTTTATAAATCCATATTTGTAATACTAACTATTAGGATCAAAATTGTCCCAAATATCATGAATATTTTATTAAAGAAATTTGAGCCAAGTATGGAAGTCTGCAAACTTATCTTCAGAGATCTGAAAACGAATACTTCAGAGTTCGGGTGAAAAATACTTCAGAGTTATAAGTCTGAAGAGTCATTTTTCAGAGTTATATTTCAGAGTTACAAATCTGAAGATTCATTCGTCAGAGTTATACTTCATGGGTAAAACTTGCATCATACAGAGCAAGACCAACTAGAGCTCCTCGGTTCTTAAGAACCAGAGCCCCTCCGGTCCTACCAATCAGAGGAAGGCCAACCAAAAACAAGGCCAATTAGAAGCAAAGGCCAACCAGAATCCATCTGGTCTTACCAACCAGAGCCCCTCTTGCCCACTAGAGCCTCTGGTTCGTCTAACCAAAGCCTCTGGGTCAAGAAATGTTAAATACTTAAAGAATTTGAGTTCCAAATACAACTAGAGACCCTCTGGTTAAACAAGATGATCAACCAGAGCCCTTATGGTTCCTCTAACATGGATTTGAATATTTTTGAAGGTTTAAATGAACTAGAAGTAAAGTCATCTAGAGGTCAGGCCAACCAGATCCCCTCTAGTTATAAAACAATTTCCACTTCATCATAATAACATCTTATCGCATCAATTGGATGCGACAACCCAAGTCTTCAAATCATACAAATGTGATAACTCAAGGTCATCACATCACAAGGATGCAATAACAAAAACACATGATCAAAACCCATATTTCACAATTTCATGATTATGCCACCTTTATCTCAGTATACACTTTTCCTTGATATGTCACCCTTACCCTAGTATACACCTCTCCTTGATATGTCATACTTGTTTCCTCACAAGATATAATCATAAC